CTAACTCAAACGGCTACAACTTTTCTTCAGATACTATCTTCCAATTCGATCGTTTTCCAAGTCAAAAATGGGTCTCAAACTGAGACTGAAAATCCGATGCATAACTTTTCGATTGGAAATTGAGTGTGATCCTACTTTGATGATATTTCACCTCTTTGGTTTCTTTCTTCATCCAATTGACTTCTAACACTCTCAAATCTTCATTGTGAGGTTCAACATGGCTTTTGAGTATTTACACTTTAGCCCCCGAACTTTCGCTTTCTTTCATTTTGGTCTTTTTCCACTTATTTCTTCCAAATTACGTTATATCCATCAAATTGACACCTAAACCAAAATATGAGATTAATAAGTACATTTTGGCATAAAATAATCATACGAGCACATAAAATAAGGAGAGAAAAATATACATTTTACATTTCTATCGAATTCCCCAACACTTCGCTTTTGCTTGTCCTTGGGCAAAACTCAAATTTAATTCTCCAAAAATACCTAGTTCGTAATGCCATGAACATAGAACCATCAAACTTTTTCAAAACACATAAGATATCATGAATAAACGTTCCCACACAACTCATAATTAATTAGCAAGCATTTTCAAATGAAGATGGAGTAAACTAAACATATAGACCCTCATGGATATAAGCACTCAACTCTCATGTGTTTAAAAGGTAAGTGTTTCTCTCAAATTTATTCCAATGGAGATGACCTACCATATGTAATATGATCCGGGGTGTGCCATTATTTATCAAGAATCCGAAGCATGTTGGAGAGAGAGTAGAGCCAAGTTCGAGACTTCAAAGAGTTGATAAAGTCAGTCTTTTATATATTCAAGCAATGAAGTCCATAATATTGAAGACAACATGTCAAGGGTCAAGTAACATGTTCGGGATGGAAGCCGGAACGGATTGGATCAATTTGTTCGAAGCAAAGGAAGAAGGGGCCAAGACGAGTAACTATGCGACCGCATAGTTACCCAAGCTATGCATTCGGAAAATAAAATATTTTGCCTCGCATAGCCACCATCCGCAAGCAACAGGGGTAATTTCATGCGGCCTATGCGACCGCATGCAAATGGCCTATGCGGTCACCTAGGCTAAAATTGTGGCAAAATATTTTATTTTCCGAAATTTCCTAGTTTAGTTAGAATTCTATTTTAATTGATATTTTGTNCGTAATTTGCACTGCACGGCCTCTAAGTACTATGGGAACAGCGCCTAGGAGCTGAAAATCTGTTCTTTCTGGGCAACACGACGCCTGGGCGCTGTGTTGTTGTTTCAAATTCTGCGTCATCTTTAGTAATTTTATCATAACTTCCTCTTCCGATATCCAATTGAGATGATTTAAGATGCGTTAGAAAGATAACTCAAAGGGTTACAATTTTATTTCAATACGATCTTCAAATTCGATCATCTACCATGTCAAAAATGGGTCTCAAGATGAGGCTGAAATGGGTGAAAACTTTTCAGCTTGAAAGTTGATATATGATAATGTTTTGCTTATATTTCATCCCTTTGACTCCTTCTTTCATCTAATTGATCTCTAATACTCTCGAATATTTATCACAAGGTTAGAAGCAAGTTTAGAGTAGTTGCACTTTAGTCCCTGAACTTTTACTTTCTTCCATTTTGGTCCACTTTCACTTATTTCTTCCAAATTACGTCATATCCATCAAATTGCCACATAAACTAAAATATGAGATTAATAAGTACATTTTGACATAAAATAATCATACGAGCGTATTAAATAAAGGGGAAAAACTATTCATTTTACATTCATATCAAATTCCACCACACTTAGTTTTTGCTCGTACTCGGGTAAAACTCAAATTTAATTCCCCAAAAACGCCAGGTCATAATGCCATGAACATAAACAATCAAACTTCCTCAAAACACATAACACATCATGAATAAACATTCCCACACAACTCATAATCAATTAGTTAGCATCCTCATATGAAGATGGAATAAACCAAACATGTAGACCTCATGGTTATAAGCGCTCAACTCTCATGTGTTTAAAATGTAAGTGTTTCGCTCAAGTTCATTCCAATTGAGATGACCTACCACATGTTTACATATCTTCTCATTCGCCACCACTTACATTACGTACTTTACAAGAATCATAAGGACTTTTTAATGATTTTAATGTGGCTTATGGTCGATGTGAGAAATATTTGGGTATGTGATTCAAGAGCCATCGAAACTAGTGGAGTAAAGATGAATAGACTTAACTAAAATATATACATAAGAATGTAAAACCAACCACTCCACATAATAGCTTCTTCATTTTGCATCTATCACAAACAAATCGAGCTCTTTCTTGAGATGTAGGAAGAGTTATGAATATAGACATTTTTCAACATTAAAATCACTCTCCTCGACCACGTATTTTCTTTTTCTTTCAATCATTTATTTTTTTTCTTCTTCTTCTTCTTTTATTTTTCTTGCACATTGTAAACTCTAAATGGTACACCAATAATGGAATTCCATGAATTGACATAGAAAATGTGTTCCAATTCACCAGTAATAGCACTACCATAAATCTTGATACCCCCACACTTATTTTCTTGCACACCCACGCATATCATGATATTGAACAATACCACACTAGCTCTAAGGTTTGGGTAAAGATATTGATTTTTCAGTTTAAAGCCTGTAATGTGAGTTTATGCAAAGAAAAGACAATAAGGCTCAAGGGGCTCAACAATGGAATATTCAATTACAGGGTCGGCTATTTGGCTAATGAAGCTCATTTATGTAACGAAGACGGCCTTAATCATGTTCATGCATGTGTCAATGTGATCTTGAAGAGAATCAAGGCAAATTCCAGAGAAACAAAACCATGGAAGAATATCACACATGAAAAAAAATAATGAGACTGTCTAAAAGCTCAAAAATCTAAGTTGGAGGATTATTCATTCAATCATGTTATGAGTTCTTCGAAAGGTTAATTAATTTTTGCAAATATCATACACAACCAAAAAATCATTTAACCTCAACTCATTTTCTTGAAAAAGCATGTAAAAATTTTCAAAAATTAAACTCACTCAATCTAAATGTAACCTAAATCTAAATTCCCTCCCCCACACTTAAACTTACATTGTCCCCAATGTAAG